GGTTTCTGAGAGATATAGGTTTGTTTTTTTTAAAAAAGGGTAACTTTTGCAAGCTCTGGGTTATCTGAAAGTTGTGGGCTCCTCCTAGTAGAGTCCAGTGATTCCCAACATCCGATCTTGTGGACTTGTACTCCCAGAAGCTCCAGCCAGTATTGCCAATGGAGCGTTATTTTCGGAGCTGAGCTCCCAAATGCCTGTAGGGCCAAAGCGAACCATTGCATTACCCGGTTCCAGTGACATCAATAACTCAGGGATCTCCATATGGAAGAACAACTCTGTAGTAAAAACCCAACAGCTGCAGCTTTGGGGGGGGAGTCCTTTTTGTCTTGGGAAGAAGCATCTGTGCACCCGCTCAGCCCTTCCCTTGCTCCAAACTAATCCCTAGGCTACCCCAGCCCCCATACAAGTGGTGCTAGAAAAGGTTTTGAGAGGGTAAGACCATGTCTGGAACACCTGAGGACAGACAAAAACAGATGGGGAAGTAATTGGGAGCAGAGACGCTTGGGGTGTACAAAGGATTTAAGCACACAGAGAAGCACCAGTTCAGCGGCAGAGGACATGTTCAATCCCCGGCAGAGTTGACCGTAATGGGCTAGAAGCTAGCCTTTCCCTAGGACAAGATTGCAAAGAGGGTAGGAGGTGAATGTAGGGCAGGTAGGAGCCATTTCTTGCCATGACTTCCCCACATTGGCAACTGGGGCAACCAGAACGTATGCCAAGCCACTTCTGGTCCTGGCTCACATATATCTGATTTTTGCATGGGGAGGATTGTGGGGAAAGGAGGAAAGAAACTGCCAGGATTTGTGCTGGTTTGGTGGTGGCGGTGGGGTTTGTGTTATCATTCAATACAATGGTATAGAGGCAGCGGTTCCCAAACTTTAGTCCTCCAGATCTTTTGGACTTTGGTTCCCAGAATTCCTGACTGTTGGCCAAGTTGGCTGGGGCCTCTGGGAGCTGAGGTCCAAAACACCTGGAGGACCAAAAGACTGGGAATCACTGGTATAGTGAAATAGTGTCCCTTATCGAAGGCGGCATCTGCACTGCAGAAATAATCCAGTTTGACACCACTCTAACTGCCCTGGCTGAATGCTAGGGGATTCTGGGAACTGTAGTTTTGTGAGACATTTAGCTTTCTCTGTCAGAGAGCTCTGGTGCCACAATATACTACAATTCCCAGGATTCCCTAACACTGAGCCAGGGCAGTTGAAGCAATCTCAAACTGGATTATTTCTGCAGTGTGTTTTGGACCTAAAGTAATAAAATCAAGGCTTACCTTGTTGGAATGTGTGTGTACGTGTGTGTGTGTGTGTGTGTGTGTGTGTGTGTGTGTGTGTAATATTTTTAAACCATGGATGGTTGAATCTGTGGATAAGGAATCCATGGATAGGGAGGGATGACACACAAGGAATTTTGCAAACCCCTCTCCAAAAGTACTTTCAAAGTTTGATGCACTTTTCTTTTTCACCGCTTGCCATCACACCCATATCCAAGAAAAGAAAGAGCAACGCAGATCCTGTTTCAAGCTAGTTACTTCCAAGCCTGGCTTGGTTCAACAAAGCATGACAAATAAACCCGATTCTCCTCTTTCTCCTGGAGGCGTCAATAACCGAGGCTCTCTTACCAGTTTTGATTGTTAATCTGATCCCCAAATCCTGGTGTGTCGGTCACCGTCAACTTCATCTTCACTCCCTTCTCTTCGACAACTGCCGGGAACAGAAGGTATGCCATTACTTTAGAGGCTCTGAAGTTCACCCACTTTTCCCTTGCTTTTGGAGTTAAAACATATGCTCCAGCTTTGACAGTTTGTCAAGGAGAAACTTGGTTTTCTGACACCCAGTTCCCTCAGTAAACCAAGTCCTGTTTTTGGCAATATTACGATCTGGCACGGTTAAAACATGCAGATTGAGAATAGAGTTAGTTGCTAAGGAAGGCAGAAAAATGACAGCTTGTGTGACAGTTGTAAGTGGAAGCAAATCCACTCTCCTAGAATTGATGATCAGTATACTAGGGACTGGGATATAGCTTTTCTGACAAAATGAACTTATTCTTAATATAATAATAATAAAGGAAAGGCACTTCTTTAGGGGGAGGGAGAAAAAGAAAGAAGAAGAGAAAAAAATATGACACATAGACTGCACCTGTACTGCAGAATTAATGCAGTTTGACTCTGCTTTAACTGCCATGGCTCAGTGCTATGGTATCCTGGGATCTGTAGTTTGTTGTGGCACCAGAGGTCTCTGACAGAGAAATATCTCACAAAACTACAGATCCCTTAATTCCACAGCATTGAGCCATGGCAGTTAGAGTGGTGCCAAATTGTATTAATTCTGCATTAATGGACAACTGGAAAGTGCATGGATGGGGAAAACATGGATTGGGATTTCAGTGAGGGAAAAATGTGAATGCACTCCCTCCAGAGAATCCCAATTTGGACACAATTTACCCTTATCCCTACCACTTTTGTTGTTCTGGTGTGCCTCCAAGTCATTTTTATTTTTCTTTTACTTACGGTGACCCTAAAGTGGAATCTATCATAGGGTTTTCCAGGCAACTTTCTTCAGAGGAGCATTTGCCATTGCCATCCTCTGAGGCTGAGAGTGTGTGACATGCCCAAGGTTACCCAGTGGGTTTCCATGGCTGAGCTGGGATTCGAATCCTGGTTTCCAGAGTTCTAGTCCAATGCTCGAACCCCTATGCCACGCGGGCTCCTATCCAATGGTTTCAATGTTGTTGTGGGTTTTTTAAACCATACCATGCAACAGTGTGCATAAAGCAATGTTCCCTTTGGCCCACAGGGCTGGACAGCTGACATCTTTTCCGCCTCCGGCTGAGTGAGAAACATTGCTCAAAGCAAGCTGGAAGGGGAAGCCATGCACTGCAAAGAGTGCATCGTGCAAGAGACCCCCTTGGCCCTCCATGATAATGGCAGCACCCACCCTGACGCAGGCCTGGGCTTCCTTGGAAAGTAGCCATGGTGATGCTCCCGTGGCCTAGTGGGAAAGCCTCACAAGAGAGCCATTGTTTGCTAGAGTTCATGTTCTCAGACACAGGCCTCTTCCAAGCAAAGGGGGGGGGGTAGCGGGTGCAAGTCAATGGCAAAGTCTGGATGACACAGCCAGCAGCAGCTGGGGCTGAATCTGCACTGCACAAATAATACAGCCTGGCATTGCTTTGGTGGCACGCTATGCAACCTTGGGGTTTGTCGTTCGCTGCAGCACCAGAGCTTTCTGCTACAGAGGGATCCGTGTCTCACAAAACAGCAACACCCAGAATTCCACGGCATTGAACCACGGCAGTTAAAGCGGTGTCAAACTGCATTAATTCTGCAGCGCTGATGCAGCCAGAGAGTCCCCTTTCTTGCTCAGACTGGCTGTTAAAGTGGGATCTTAGTGCATAGTCTAGTGTGAAAGGGTCCCCAATCTCCTTGGGCTCTTCAATCTTCCCCTAAATAGGTCTACCTTACAGCGTTATTGTAAGGATAAAGGAGGAGGTGGGAGAGCCAGGTACTTCTTATGATTAGTTTCCGGACAAGGTACAAAGTTTTTTGTTTGTCCTTTTAAATTGATGTGTAGTTTAACTGATGTTGTTTGTTCATTGTTGTTGCTCCCAACCTTGATCCATGGGGAGAGAAATAAATATCATCACCATCATCATCATCATCAGAAAGGTGAATTATAATGTAGTCAAGAAAATAAATAAGGGAAAGGCATGGGGTGGGAAGATGGAAAACAGCAGTTAATAAGCTTACTAGAATTGGGTTTAGTCATAAAGCAAGACTAAGGAGAACGGAGCAGGTTTCTGTCAAAAGAAGGAGTGGCTCTTCTAGGGCTCTTACCATGGGTGACAGAGAGCAAGTGCACGGTCTTGGGAATGCGTTCCTCATAACCGGGACATGTTGCTTTCCGGCTGACTTTGGATTTGAAGAGTGTGTTCACCATGGTGGACTTGCCAAGGCCGCTCTGTCCTGGGTGGGGTAGGAAGCGGTGGGAGAAGAAGGGAGAGAAGAGAAAGCTCTGAAACCACATCATCCAAATTGTGAAAACAGATTGAACAACCCACAGCCCACCCAGGAAAAAGGCTGGTTCCCACATTAGGGTGGCCATGTGGCCTTCTGGGTTGTTGTTGCATGCCTTCAAGTCCTTGCTAACTGACCCTAGCATGGGATTTTCTTGGCAAGATTTGTTCGGAGGAGGTTTGCCACAAGGACCTATTTTGCAGAAGACAGTCTACTGTTTTGAAGGTGTTTTCTGTTTGAAAGGCTGGACAGTCCAAGAGCTAAAGAACCATTAGTAATGAATGTTGTCCGTTAACACAAAGGAACATCTGGACAGAAGGTTAAGCAACAGATACATCAGTGATGCGGGTGGCTTAGTGGTTAAGATGCCAATTCCGATGATCGTACGATCAGAAGTTTGGCAGTTCAAGGCCCAGGTGCTGCATAATGGGGTGAGCTCTTGTCACTAGTCCCAGCTTTTGCCATCCTATCAGTTCGAAAGCATACAAATGCAAGTAGATAAATAGGGACCACTTCGATGGGAAGATAACAGTGTTTGATGCAGTCATGCTGGCCACATGACTACCAAATTCACATTTCCACATTTCTCCCGATGGGATACATGTGTCTTTAAGTGCCAAAGACAGGTCTTACCACATTCACTCATGGCCGGACATATGCAGCAAGTATGCAATCCGGATTTCTCTGGCGGATTTTCATACACGAGATTTTCTTGCCTTTGAAAAGCCACGGGATAAGCCCAGGTTGCAGACAGGCTGCAGACAGACTGCATACTCTTGGCCATGGATGAATGCAGAAGGAACCGTCTTTGACACTTAAACGCGCGTGTATCCCATCAGGAGAAAGACGAGATATTCAAACAATATAGAATTCTATAAACCTTGATTTTGCCAGTTTATATAAGGGACACCATTTTACTATGCCATTGCATATAATGGGACTTTAGTATCCACAGATTTTGGTATCCACAGGGGGTCCAGGAACCAAACCCCAGTGGATACCAAGGATCCACTGTATTTAAATGCAGATTAGGAGGAGGATGCCCTGAGTTGAATGTGGGCATTATGAAGACAGTCTGCACCCGATTCTGGGTTTTGGCCTGGCATTATGTAAACGGGATGCAGCAAGCCTGGGGGGCAATGAGACATGATATGTCCATGCAGACAAGCCCTGAAAATTGTAAGAGGGATAGAAGAGCCATGAATACTCCCAGACTTGCAGCTTTAGTCCCTCTCTCTGCTGCCCTTCCCCACCCTGGAACAGCCTTTGCAATGCACAAAGGGACACACATAGCCCTGTATGCTTGACAGCAACCGTCACAGGTCCAAGCACTGGGGAGATTTCCCCCCCCCCCAATAAGACTTTGCCTCTGCTTTGCCTTCTTGGGTCCTTTTCAGAGCTTTCTCCTCCAGGGCATTAACACTGCCTCCTCACCTTTGGCCTCGGCTGGGTCGCAACAACAGTTGCTTGGGGCTGCAGAGCTGAAGCAGACAGGAAGAGCTCTTGAAATTAATTTGGGAGGAATGAAGGACCGCAGCAGGACTACTATGAGGGAAGACACCATTACATCTGGAAGGATCTCAAAGAGACTCCTACTATCTTGGGCTAGGTGACACCTCAAATTAAACAGAGCATGGAAACGCTCCTTTCTTGGACTCCAACTCCTCGAATCCTGCTATCAGTATGGCCATGTAGCATATAAAGGTTGGACAATAGTACCGTGGGTCCTTGGTATCCGCTGAGGTTTGGTTGCAAGACACCCCCCATGGATGCTCAAGTCCCATTAAATAAAATCTGTGGATGCTCAAGTTCCATTAAATACAACAGCAGAGTCCAATGGCAAAAAATATATAAAACAGCAAAAACAAGATTTGCGCTTTGCAATTTATATATTTTAAAAATGCTTGCAAGCCGTGTACGCTAGAATCTGTGGATTAAAAAAATCTGTGGATACAGAAGGCTGACTGTACTACAGGCTTCAGTACCATGATCCTTACTCTCTTGGGCCAAAGTGTACAAGGAGGCCAGCTTTTGAATGAGGACAGGCTCTCCTGCCAAACCGAACAGAAAAGGAAGACATCCTTCTGATAGTCTGCTCCGCTGAGGAGCGCAGTGCAACACAGCAGCTTGCACGCCCCACAACCAACTTGAGTTATTCATTTGGCTTACAAGTTAGATAAAATGCTATCAGTGATATTTCTTTGGACGGCAAAGCAACATGGAAACGATGACCTATCATGCCTGTGGTCCCGCGTGATTTTTTTTTAGTATGCACGAAACAACAGGGTGCTTTTAAAGAAGCAAAATGAAACCCCATATCTCAAAGCAAAGGCCCTCTGGGTCTCCCTTCCCTTCCTGCTTATTTTCTTCAACTCTTCCCCAGAGCGAGGGGGCTTTCCCTCTCCTTGTCATATAGGCAGCTCTGCTTTCCTATCCCCACCCTTCCACACACCCTCCTTTTAAGTTCAAAAACATTCAGCTTCGCCACATGGGAAAGTGTGTGTATGTGTGTCTTCCCAGGTTTGATTGAAGCCAGATGTGCAGCTCCGAGAAAAGGGTCGGAGAAGTTACAGCTGGAGCAGCTTTAAAAAAAAAACACAATGTTATATTTCCCCGATTTGCAATCTGACAGTCCCTTCGGGCCCTGGAGGAAGGCTGTTTGGCAGACATTTCACTGGCCCTATTGCCCAACTGTGACAGGGCAAAGCTGGCACAAGGTGGGTGGTTAGAGACTTTCTTTTCCTTTTTCTTCTTTTTAGCATCTTTTAGTTTCAATTGCAACCTGGTAACCTTTTTGGCTACAATTTGCAGAATTCTCCTGCCAGTATAGGAGATTGGGAGCTAGAGTCCAAAAAAGTTAACGCTTCCAAGGTCTGCTTCTGATCGTAACTGGAAGATGCAAGGAGTAGATCAGTGTTATCTGTAGGGGATGGCTGGATCCTAGGGCTTTTTGTAGAATCATAGAATCATAGAGTTGGAAGAGACCTCAAGGGCCATCCGGTCCAAGTCCATGCCATTCAGGAACACAGAATCAAAGCACCTTCGACAGATGGCCATCCAGCCTCTGTTTAAAAACCTCCAAAGAAGGAGACTCCACTATCCTCCGAGAGACTGTCTTCCATTGTCAAACAGCTCTTACTAGGAAGTTCTTCCTAATGTTGAGGTGGAATCTCTTTTCCTATAGCATGCATTCATTGTTCTGAGTCCTGTTCTCTGGAGCAGCAGAAAATAAGCTTGTGCCACCCTGACATCCCTTCATGATATCCATTCAAATATTTAAACAGGGTTATCCTATCACCTCTTAACCATCTCTTCTCCAGACTAAACATATCCAGCTCCCTAAGTCCCTCCTCATAGGGCCTTATGGTTTCCAGACCTTTCACCATTTTGGTTGTCTTCCTCTGGACATAGTTTCAGCTTGTCAACATCCTTTTTGAATTGTGATGCCCAGAACTGGACACAGTATTATTCCAGGTGAGGTCTGACCAGAGCAGAATACAGTGGCACTATTACTTCCCTGGATCTTTTGGATTTCCTAAAGAGAAAAGGAATTCCGAAATCTTGCTCTCATTCGCATCTCTCACCAGCCTTCCTTTTCATTTTGATTCTTTGAGTGGGAAGTAGTTTGGGCCCCACACTTCTGTGTCCACACTGCTCCATTCCTGAGTTATTCCTTCAGAGACCCAAAGGGAACGATAGGTTCAAAATTGTATCAATACAACCAAATCCATTGACCTCCTCCAATCCTGCTTCACTCAGTGCTATGAGACAGAACCTGTCCAACAAAATCCCAAATTATCTTTTTCTGTTTTTATTTTTTGGTAAAGGTGAGAGGTTCTTCAGCAGCTGACTTTGGTCCCTTCTAGTCTCTCTGAATGAATCATGGCACATGGATACATAGCTGGGGGGGGGGGATTTTTCATTGACAAATGCACTCCTTTTCCTTCTGTTTTCCTCCGTGGGAGTTGAATAGATCGTTGTGCAGCTGTCTCAACCCAAAGGCAAGGCACAGGGGAAAAGACGGTGCCTAAATGAAGTGATTGATCAATGTATTGTCTTATCTGACTCCATATTTTCCACTAAGACCTCTGCAGCCCCTGGCATCTCAGGCCCATCTCTTCGAAAGCTATCAACTATATATCTTGTACCTAAAATCCTCCTGGGAAAGAAAAAAAAGAACACCCTCTTTTCTTGCACCTGTTCTACCGGTTCCCCCAGAACTGGGAATCCCACGGTGCAGGCTTTGCGTTCTCCTTTGCTTTGCTGTTAAACATGTCATCCCCTAATCCTCCAGCTCTCCTCCCTGGAGGATGTTTCAGGCCCCAAACACAACCATCCTTCTTACTCAGGATTACTTTTTGGCATCTCTGTACGGGTCTCCGGCTTTTGATCTGGGGATATTTATTGCCAAATGCACCAAAGGGTTGTGGCTTGGGAGGAGAAGGCCGTACAAAGACTTTCTCTGCAGTTGGAGGCAGAGGGAAAGGGGTTTGAGGAGGGGTAGTGGTGGGAAAGGGCACAAGGTTGCTAGGAAAGGGACTAACTGTTTGCTAAGCACTCACAGATTGTGTGTGTGTGTGTGTGGGGGGGTAGCAACAGCCCTCTGTCTCCCCTCCCCGAGAAAAAAACCCAGAATTGGTGTCTGCAGCAGGGTGCCGGATGGAAAGCTGCAGGTAGCATACAGTTCTCACATTGGAAGGGAGCAAATCATGGCCTTTGGATTGGCACAGCAGAAGAGCTGGCAGCTTGGAGGAAAGCTACACAAATCAACAAACCCCTCCATGCAGAGAGAGAAGGCTGGCTAGCAGAGCGGGAACATTTCTCAGGGATTTTAAGGCGCCAAGGGGACAGCGGCAGCAGATCTCTCCAAATTGGGGAGTTTGCAGGGACTGCTTGTCATATCCTATCATTGCACACTCCTGGAAGTCTTGGAGTCATTGCTGGTGGAAGTGGTCATGCACATACGTCTCTACAGAGCAGGTGTGGACCATGTTTGGCTCCTGGGCTGCAGGTAGCCGATCTCAGTCTCCTAGGAGTGTTGTTGCTTTTGTTGTTCTTGTTGTGTGCTTTCACGTTGTTTCCAACTTATGGCCCCAAATCCCCACCCCACCTTTTATACCTTCTCTGTGGGTTTTTGGTGAACGACAGGCGGTTGCCTTTCCATGCAGTCGCTGTGAGCGGGCCAGCATTGCCACTGCAGGCGCAAGTGACTCCGAGGTCAGAATAAAGCATGCATCTGTGTTATCAACACAATGCATTCTGATCTCAGAGTAACTCGCGCCTGTGGAGTAACTCACAGGTACTGCTAAGGAAGGCAGCTGCTTGACATCACCATGTTTTGCTTTGGGTTTCCCAGAAAACCCAGAGCATAGGGTAAGTCTTTTAAATGTAGGACAAGGGGTGGAAACCCCGAGTCGGGTGCAAGCATTGTGAAGTCAGTCTGGATCCAATTTGAGGTTTTGGGCCTGAGGAATGTAAGCAGGATGCAGCAAGCCTGGGGTTAATCTGCAATATAGACAAGTCCATAAACAGTTCAAAATATAAAGCTAAGGTGGTGTATAATAATAAAATAATAATAATAATAATAATAATAATAATAATAATAATAATAATAATAATAAATAATTTGCAATGGCAAACCTCCTCTGAACAAATCTTGCCAAGAAACTCCCATAGGGTCAACTTAAAGGCACTCAACAACCTTTTTTAAAATATCATTTTATACTGTTTTAAAATGTTTATTGCAATATCTTTTAAAACGATTTTATCTCTGAGCCACCTTCAGTCCCTTTCTGGGTGGCATAGAAATGAAATTAATTAATTAATTAATTAAGTGGTGCATTCATTAGACACTTCAGCTTTTTGGACAACAGCTCCCAGGATCCTGCAGCCAGTATTGTCATTCCACATCCTCCAACATTTCACAGATGAAAGTGGGGACACATGTGGCTATGCAACATCACAGTGTGGTCAAGATGCACAACCCAGAAGCTAAGAGAGGCTGCAGCAGTTTGCTTTTGCCCAAGCATACTGTAAAGGGTAAGACTCTGCCCTCTTCTCTTTTTTTGCACTTTGAACTCAGTTTGCAGCAAATGAAGTAAACTGAGAACAAAGGGGGAAGGGGAGGGAGAACCTGGGACATTTTTAAAGCACCTGAAAAGTGTGGGAGGACAGAGGATTAATCAGGACTGTCCTTGCCAAGCTGGGACAGTTGGGGGCTATGCCATTCTGAGGTTTGCAGTCCAAACAAGTAACTTTTTGCAATTCTGCTTCTCGAAGGATTAAGGATTAAGGGCATCCATGCTCACCTACAACCATAATGTTGAACTCAAATCCTGTTTTCATTGTCTTGATCCGCATCTGGTCCAGCACGGCCTCGATCCCTATATAACCGAAGAGCTCCCGGTCCCCTGTGCCAATGGAAGAAGGGACATCCCGAGAGAGTTGTTCTCGAGGCGGCTGCTCCTCCATGCTGAATGCTGGCTGCAGAGAGCCTTGTTCTGAAAGAGGAAGAGAGAAAGACAAGGAACTTGAACCAGAGACGCCAGACTGTTAGGTAGTTCCCTAACAGAGATTTCTTTCTCCCTACACCTAGTTGTACTTCTGCAGTGAAAGTTGTACAAGGGGGAGAAAGGTGCCTGTGTGTCTTAATTTCCCTGTTTTATTACTTTCTCACACACATACACAACCTGTGATACAGACTGCAAAAAGATGCTGAGTGTGATTCTTAGGTTTATAGGTAGAACTCCATGCCACAATGTAGTGAAGACCACCAGCTCAGATGGCTTTAGAAATGTATTGCTGGCTATAGATGGGTACTTGTCAAAATGGCTAGATGCTACCTCCAGGACCAGAAACAGTATGACTGGATCATACTGCCTGGGAAGGTTTCTTTTTCAATATACCACCAGAGTCCTCCAGCCAGCATAATGGTGGGTGGGGGATTCTGGAAGCTGTAATCCAAAGGTTAACTTCCCCAGGCTTTATAATGAATTCAGAGTTTGTAAGGGAACAGGAAGACCAGCATGGTGTAGTGGTCTGAGCATTGGATTATGAGTCTGGAGACCAGGTTTCGAATCCCAGCTCAGCCATGTAAACCCACTGGGTGACTTTGGGCAAGACACACTCTCGCAGACTCAGAAGATGGCACTGGCAAACCCGCTCTGATGAAACTTGCCAAGAAAATCCCATGAAAACCCTCATGGCCTTAGGGGTGCCTTAAACTGGAAATGATTTGAAGGCACACAACAACAACAATGACAAGGGGACAAGCGATGTTTTGCACCTCACAGGCAATGGAAAAGAAGTGCTATTGGGAGCTTATTGACGGGTTTCCCCCATCAAGGGAAAGGGACATCCTAACCATGCTTCGGAGAAACAGGAGCTATAAGTTGGAGGTGACGTCGTGCAATAAGTCTCACGAAAGATGCTATTTTCCAAAGGTAATTGTGGTTTAAAAGCCACATGTAGTAATCTTGATGGCCCCTCTATGATTCTACAAAAGAGCATCCTCCATCACACCGAAGAAAACAATCCAGTTTAGAAGGACAGGACAGGCTGTGTGGAGGACAGCTCTGTTCTCAAGAGGATAGGAAATGCCAAATAGGAAATAGGAGGAAGAGCTGGGGGGAGATCAGTTTGTGTGTTGAGGGAGGATCTGATGAATTTTTCCTCCTCAAAATGTCAGAGCAAAAATGTAGGTGCCATGACTCCCACACCACCACTTTCCTTCTCCTGTACACTTTTCTTCCACCTTCATCTGATGAAGAAACCTGCCAGTTTTGAAAGCTGGCATGACATATTTGGCACCTTTTGGCTGGCCGAATACAGGCATGAGAGCCAGTGTGGCGTAGTGGTTTGTGTGTTGGACTATGACTCCGGAGATCAGGGTTCGAGTCCAGCGCAGCCGTGGAAACCCACTGGGTGACCTTGAGCAGGTCATATGCTCTCAACCTCAGGGGAAGGCAATGGTTTATCTCCCCTGAATAAATCTTGCCAAGAAAAACCCCATGATAGTTTTGCCTTAGGGTTGCCATAAGTTGGAAACATCCTACAGGTTGACAAAATAAGACAAAATAAAAGGGTAGAGCCAACCCTGAAGATGGCAATGACTCTTCTTGCTCCTCAAAGGCTTGCAGTGCCTTTGTCCTCCTCATAAGCAGATGCAAACACAGAATCATAGAATCACAAGGGCCATCTAGTCCAACCCCCTGCCATGCAGGAACTCCCAATCAAAGCATCCCCAACAGATGGCCATCCTGCCTCTGCTTAAAGACCTCCAAGGAAGGAGACTTCACTACTCTCCGAGGGAGCGTGTTCCACTGTCGAACCGCCCTTACTGTCAGGAAGTTCCTCCTAATGTTGAGGTGGAATCTCTTTTCCTGCAGCTTGTATCTGTTGTTCTGGGCCCTGTTCTCTGGAGCAACAGAACACAAGCTAGCTCCCTCCTCAATAGGACACCCCTTCAAATACTTAAATAAGGCTATCATATCACCTCTTAACCTTCTCTTCTCCAGGCTAAACATCCCCAGCTCCCTAAGTCGTTCCTCATAGGGCTTGGTTTCCAGACCCTTCACCATTTTAGTTGCCCTCCTCTGGACACTCTCCAGTTTCTCCACATCCTTTTTGAATTGTGGTGCCCAGAACGGGACACATATTGTGGACCAAGATGGAGGCCATCACTGGTTTTCACTAGGCTGGGCACTTGCTTAAATACAGAATTTCTTCACCCTTCACAACCCGTTTCTCCAGCAGCAGACGCCCCAGGCCAAGTCCAGACTGTCTGGTGTGCACAGCGTGAGGGAAATTCTCCAACAGAAATGTTAAAAACACAGAGAGAGAGAGACACACACACAGTCCCCCCACATCCCCATGTAATTCTGCAGCAAAGCAGAGATGGCAAGGAGCCCTGAAGCTGTCAGTCCCTCCGCTGCTTTTCCACAAACAATGCAAGAGCCAGAGGGAGGTTCGTGAGGAGGGGAAGGCATCTCGCCAGAGGCCTATCATCCTGAAGAGAGAAGGCACCATCTTTCTCAGGCCTGCTATTGCAGCCTCCTGGACAGGAAAAGCCACAGCCCTTCATCCCAGAGACACATGGAGGCTGCTGCTGGTGGTAATAATAATAATAATAATAATAATAATAATAATAATAATCCTGCCCCTCTGCAGCACAATCGAGGAGGCTTACAACAGTTAAAAACACCAATACATATATCAATTCCCTAACCCCCTCCCCTTAAAACAATATTAAACTAGGTTAAAATTTAAAACATAGAATAAAATAGATAAAAATGGTGACTAATGGTGGCAAGGGAAAGAGATCCTGCAACACACACACTCCAAAAGGTTACTGCAAACTCTGGCACAAGGAAAGGCAGAAAGCAGTGCTGCCTTCTCGGAGAGCTTGGATAAGTGATTATTAAATTTTTTTTGGAAAAGAATTGGTTCTGAAGCATGTTCAACAAGTGGGAACGATGGATCTGGATTGGATCATACTGGCAGGGAGAGATTAATGGCATTTGAAGCACTACAGAAAGCAGACATCTAAGAGCCTTCAAGAAAAAGGTTGGCAACTAGCAGCTTGGGATTGAACCTACTCTACTGAAGGACAGACGGGGATGCTTGGATCGTGAGTTCCTGCATGGCAGAATGGGGTTGGACTGGATGGCCCTTGGGGTCTCTTCCAACTCTAGGATTCTATGATTCTGTGACACTGAGGTCTAGCTTTCCCAAGTTCCTCATATTTCTGCTTCAGCATGGTGAAAGAGAAACAGATTTAGAAATGCAGGAACGTGAAGCTGGGGGTTCTCTTGTCTTCTTATGTGCAACCATCACCCTTCCCATCCTCTGCTCCCGATCACACTGTTCCCTCTGGATGGAGACAGAAGGTGTTGGGGATCCATCTGTATATCCTCCAAACAGCGTGGGAGCTGCTCTCTGGATTTTTCTTGGCACTCTGCTCCAAAGATATATGGGTGAAGGAACCACAGAGTCGGGGCCATTGGCATTACTCTGTCTGCCACCATAAATTGGGTGATCAGCGGATGGGAAGGAGCCACATCACTGTCGCTGGCCTTCTTCTCTTCCGGTTTCGGAAATCCTTCTTTGGCTCCTGTGCTCCATTGCATCAGCCCCAAGTGTTTCTATCACACCAACGCCTAAGGAAGTCAATTGGAGAGAATGTGGCAATTCAAAGAATGATTTCGCCATTGATGTGGGGCCCTGTGGAAATGCATAGCTCACATAAATACCAGAAGGTCCCTACTTTTAACATTCCTACCCCAGTATGAAGAACCAAGGGTTGGGGGAACTGTGGCCAGATAAGAAATCCACTGACCGAGGTGACACTCTCTAGGACAGGCCCTAGAGTCAGTTGAGTGGGAACCTGTAGGATGATGGGAGTTGTAGTAACTCATCTGGGAAGGACACTAGGATTTGGACCGGCTTGCCCTTTGAGTGTGTATTATCTGCGGAATTGCCAGAGAGCTGTGAAAGCCCTGTGCAAACCTCCATGAAATCCTATCTTGGCACTAGGAAGGACTTAAATACACCAGGGATGTGTCTAAATTGGAGAAATAATGCAGTTTGAACTTTGGTGTCCTCCTTATAAACATATTCTATCTTGGCATTCTTGCAAAGCTCATTGGGTTTTTTTTTTATATTGTTGATCTGTTTGTGTAAATTTTAACTTATTATAGTACTCTTTTAGTACTTGTTTTGAAGTGTTATATTGATAAACTACGTAAATAAATTAAATAATTGCCTGACTATTGGTTGTCTATTATTCATTATACATCCTATTTTACACCTCGCTTTTTATTTAGATATATAAATTCCTAATTGATTATAATCGCTCTGTATTTATTATTCTATAATTTATTATTATTTTTTCTTTCACTCTATTAATTCCCTTCTGAGGTTTAATTTGGCCTTTTCTGCTTAAGAATGCTGCCAAAAACCTACAAATCCCAGGATTCTTTTGGATGGAGCTGCAACAATTAAAGTGGCATCAAACTGCTTTATTTCTGCAGTGCAGATGTTCTCCACATTACATTACCTCCCTATATAGCATTTTTGATTTATAGGTAAGGCAAATTTAGCCACATACATTAAAAATATTAATATTCTCTCTCTCTTTTAACCCCTCTTTTCTTCCTCTCCTCTTGGATTAGAGAGAAAAGCTGCTAAACTCTATTCTTTTTGCCTTAGCCACAGCTTAGAATCAATAAATGAGTTCTGAATAACTTTGCTATGAGTAACATGTTCTTTTTAGGGTGCAAGACAATGGAATATAAAAGTAACATAATGAATGGGAACGAAAGTTATCTTACTTCTATAAGGACCAAAGGCTTGTAATAATGTTAAACAAAATATTTTTTTAAATGCACTTGAAGACATTTTGAAAAGATTTCCCCCAAGTGTATGCTATTCACATATCAAAGGGTGTTTTTCTTTTTAAAGCAATGGAAGTTACCCCTAAAAAAATAACAAGCAATGCAACAAGTAACATTACATATGGGAAGCTTGACTTGTAACAAGTAACAACAAGGGATTACTTTCTAAATACTTGCCACTTACTGGGGTTGAACTGCTTCAAAGCAAAGATTTATTTATTTTTGAATCCAGCCTCCTTTTGCAAGCTGACTATTTTTAAAGAAAGGGCTTTTACATTGTTTTTAATTTTTAGTGCATGTTTTCAACTTGGAAAAAAAATACTGACAGTTTAATTCAATTTTAATGATAATCTTTTGCATGTTTTTATTAACACTGTATCTGATTTCATTGGGGAAGTCACTCCTCATTCTGGGAGGGAAGGGGACATCAACAATGTTACCAGCAGCAATAAATGATACCTTTAAAACTGCAACAACTAACTACTTGTGGGGACCTTGGAACTGTAACTGTAACTGTAACTGTAACTGTAACTGTAACTGTAACTGTAACTTCATTCATTCATTCATTCATTCATTCATGCTCTTGCTAAGGAAATAGCATGGCTGTTTTACTGAGGACAGTCTTCTCTCCACCGAAGGAGGGTTCATTTCAAGTCCATTTTAAAGACTGAAGAACCAGAAGAAGGAAGAGGAAACTGCCTATCCATGGTTTTCACTTGGACAGATGTCAAACCAGATCACCTGGCCCATAAATCTTCGTCAGATGCTGTATTTCTAAGCAAATTATAGCATTAATCTTTGCATTTGCAATTGTCTAGAGGAGCATTCAATACTGGCCATGTGGCTGGGGGATTCTGGGACATGCAGTCCAAAGTTTGGCTCAACTTTGCCAAACTCTGCGCTGACATGTGCCAGTCTTGCAGCAACCAAATTCCTCTGCTGATCTTTCTGGACACCGTGTAAGTAGACCTCCAAGATGAACCTGGGTTTAGGTTGTACACCACTTCACACAATGCTCCTTACACAGAAGGTCTGTAGCCTTGTGTGCATCCACAGTGCAGAATTAAAGCAGTCTGATACCACTTTAACTGCCATGACTCTATCCTACCGAATCTTGGGATTTGTCATTTGGTAAGATACTCTGCCTGGTCTATCAGAGAGTCCTCACCAAATCACAAATCCCAGGATTCTGTAGGACAGAGGCATGGCAGTTAAAGTGGTCTCAAACCGATTTCATTCTGCAGTGTGGATACACCCCTAGTTGTCTTCCTGACCTGTTTCATTTCTATCATCGTTGTTGTGGGCCTTCAAGTCATTTCCGACTTATGGTAAACTTAAGGTGAAGCTCACATGGGTTTTCTTGGCAAGATTTGTTCAGAGGTTTGCCATTGCCTTCCCCTGAGGCTGAGAGAGTGTGACTTGCCCAAGTCCACCCAATGGGTTTCATGGCTGAGCAGGGATTTGAACTTTGGCCTCCAGAGTCATAGTCCAACCCCCAAACCACAAGGCCACGCTG